TAGCGAGACCATCCTGATCCATAATATAAATGGCATCAGGGAGTGGAATGCCATGAAGGATGTGTACACCAAATATGAAGATGGATTGCCAATGCTCAGTGTTATTCGGAATTCAACGGCCAAAGCCCTGGTTACAAAGAGGGAGATTATTCCAAAATGCTGGGAGAAAGAACAGATCTTGAATAAAACGTTGAAGAATACCTACAAGAACTGGTTCTATGAAGCATGGGGTTTTAAGGAAGGGAAGTGGTATGGATATTATGGACCTGTGGATACGAATACTGGATAGAAAAAATTTTATATTTTTTTTATTACATAATTTACAGTACTTAGTATTAATAAATACACATAAAAGAATTCATTATATATACTTTAGAGAATAGGTAGATACGTGCAAAGTGGTATAAATATGATATTTATTACTAATAAACCCAAATTTATTAAAGAATCTACAAGATATATAAACTAAAATTTTGTTTTACGAATGACTAACCCAAACACACTACAAGAACGTCCAAATTTAAATATTAAATTCGGATCTTCTACCATTAAGGAGCTTGTTCCTATTCGATCTAAACGTTAGCAATAAAATTTTCTTTAGAACTAACGTAATAAAGTAGTTTTGAACAAAACTTATTCCAGTTACCTTCACGCTACAATAATTTCAATAAACGGAGTATATTTTGTCTTCTAAGCAAAGTATGCGTGGAGTAAGATGATTTAGAGATTATTTTGCATAGTGAATATAGACGTTGCTTCGAAGTTAGAAAAGGCTTTTGCAATGATTTTTTATTGGTGAAACGTTACGTTCTCAAAAAGTACTTTAAAATGTATAAATAAGTTACCCGGGCAATTGATTTACATCAGCCAATCAGACGAAAGTCCTCCTATGAACATAAGGGCCCAAAATAACCGCGACTCTATTCACGCCTATGGCTTGATCGTTATAAGTATAAGAAACGTAAGCATTGCATAAAAATGTAACGATCGATTGTAAATTAGTAATTATAAATGAGAAAAGAAAGTTTTTTAAATTTAATAAATTTAATTTTCTTTGTATGAAATTGCCTATTGTTATAACAAACCACTATGATGTTAATAGGGATTGGAACCGTTTAAAATTTTCTTAACCGTTTAATTCAGCCGGTATTAAAATTGTCTTGGCCCGTGATAAACATAATTCGGTCCGGCACTATAAAAATTTTTTATACGGTTAAACGATTCCAATCCCTAGATGTCAAGTAAAACATTGCAAATTGGCACAACATATACTAATATAGATGTTCGTTCAGCTTTAGAGAGCTACTCTGTTGAAACTTCGCCTTATGAATAATTGTGCTAGTTTAACGCTATTTTTATGCTATATTTAAGCGAAAATGATTATAGCTAATACTTCATTTATCCTTTTATCTAATAATCAGTATATAGATAACTCTAAATATCTATAATATACGATAATCCTATAATCGCGATTTTGCTATCGTTATTAGGGATTGGAACTGTTTAACTGCATTAAAAATTTTTATAGTGCCGGGCCGAATCACGGGCCAAGACAATTTTAATGCCGGCTGAATTAAACGGTTAATACGGTTAAGAAAATTTTAAACGGTTCCAATCCCTAATCGTTATAAGCCTTTTTTTCAGCTATCAATAGATTTGGGCCTTTATATGTAATATTTTTTAAAAACTAGGTCCTTATATGTAATTATTTTTAATTTGGGCCCGTATTTGCAATTATTTTCACTTTCTGGGCCCTTATCGTTATTTGTAAATTCCTTTTTTGAAAATATTACAAATACAGGCCCTAATTAATCACGGGATCGTTGCGCCATAATATTGCAGCGATTACTCACCTCCATAACTACATGAAATTGTGGTTAAAGAAATAATATATGGCTATCAAATTTTATTCGTAATAAACATTTATGTTATTTAAAAATCGCTACATTGAATTATCGAAATATTTTAATGTAATTTTTAGATGTATAATACAAAGATAGCATTTATATGAATGCAATTTTTCCATTATGCATTGTAAATTAAATTTCTTTCTGCCTACGTCTTTGATTACAAGTTCATATGTTATGGCCTTTTTTACTGCATTTTTTGCAAGTATTTTGGTCTTCTGGTGCCATTTCTCCAAGTAAATATCATCCTAATTTGTAATGTGTTTGTTTGACATAATGATAATATTTACAATCGAAGATGAAGATAATTTTATAAACAAATTGTTAGAAAATCGGGACAAAAGAAATTTACTAATAAATAAGTGGATTTTATACTCATATATTGAATATATGATTACTAATTTACATTTGTTAATACAGTAATATGTAGTGTGAGGTCTGGAAATCGTGAGTCGGAAATTGCTGCGCCCGCTCACGTTGACGCGGTTATGACGATCTATTACTTAAAAAGGAGTTGCCGGCGATATATCGAATATATCGAAGAAATTAAATAAATCCAAGATAACAAATATAACGAAGATAATAGATATAGCCCTTAAAATCAATTTAATAGTTTTAAGAGATATAATAGTTTTATTTGTAATAATCAGTATAACCAATTTAATAGAGATAATGATTATAATAAGTACTAAGTAAAAGTTTATTATAAATAAAGGCGTTATCGCCCCAAGAAAAATTAGGTTTCGTTTGCTTCACTAATAACCAAGTCTCAAATTTATCAAATACATTGCCCATAACATTGTATAATACTATTGTGCGAATATACCTTTTTAACCCTTAAAAAGTTATAATTTGTCGTTCGTTAAGTCCTTGTTCACGTGACCTAGCGTTGCCAACTCAGAGTAACCGAAGCCTTAAATCACCCACCAGCCAAATCCAACACACCTCTTTCGTAAGGTTACTACCCGCAGGTTACGCGAGTTTTTGGATAGTGGAGCGACCGAGTCGCCGTTTTCTAGTCATCACAGTAGTAACGATGATATTCATATGCGCTGAAAGTAAAATTTGAGTTACGTACGTATGTTTAAGTTAAATCATGATTGGCTTGAGATCGTGCTTAAGCCACAATGAGCACTGATTCATACGACGCAAAATTACTTAGGCACATATTTATAATATTTTCAAAAATTAGGCCTTTATGAATATTTTTAAGTTGGGCCCTCATTCATAATTATTTTCAAATTTTGGTCCCGATGTGTAATTCCCCTATTTTATATATATTTCTATTGTATCACTTAATTTTTAATGATCACAATATTCCCATCAAAAATTTTCGCTCATACGTATAGGCATTTTTAGCGATGTACGTCCGAAAAATCTCATGATTGATTGAGCTGAACTTAAGAATGAGATTTAACCATAACGATAACGAACAATTAAAGTGAATGACGATCATTTATAAAAATGTGCTTTTTTAATTATTGTCCTTCAAAATTGCACTAACCAAATATGGAAAAGCCGATGAGCTGCAGCTTAAGCTATAGCTTGGAGTTGCAGTTTAACTATGGCTCAACATCAACTGCAACTAAATCGGCTTTATATTGAAGCCACAACTTGTGTCATGGCCAGAGCATGACTTGTACCATGGCTTAAGCTGTGGTGCAGAAGTAAATATTATTACGTAGCTACAGTAAAATGAAATTTTTTAAAGTAATGTAGTATTTAAAGGGCCACACAAGGGATCAAATATAGTATAGCGAACACCATCGGCAAATTTTCCGAAAAGCTACATCATGTGATCACGTGATGTGGTGTTAATGGCTTGGTTTTCGTGTAATCTCAAATGAGCCACACTAGTCACTTCACACGATCACGTAACCGAATCGAATAGCTTCACCAATGTGGCTCATTTGCGATTACATGAAATTATGTTACGTCACATAATCACATGACGTGGCTTTTCGGAAATTTTTCTGTTCGGTGTCCGCTATATTTGATCCCATACGAATCTAAAAATCTTAATAGGATGAAATTGGTCTACAAAACACTTCGTCATATAATGTCATGTTTTCACATGATATTTCAATTAAGCATCTTCAAAACTTTTATTTTAACTATAGAGCATTATCAATCAATATATTAATTAATTTTTCTCGGTTAAATTTTTATTCATATTGATTTAAGGTTCTCTCAAGCAATAAATTAATAGGTCGGTGCTCAATTTTCAATTAAGTAGGTTCATTATTGCGATGAAAAAAAGTTTGAAACCGCCTTTTATTGTCATCGACTTGCTCTAATTGGCTAAAATTTATTATCCGCATCTACGTTATGAATCTTCAGCAAAATTGCGGTAAGGATCGCTTCAATTAATCAGAACCTTAGTCTCTAAGTTTCGTGATTATTTTATTGGTCCAATTAGTCTAAGTATTTAATATGAGCTGTTTACGTCTCATTTAGCTTCTTATCCACATTAGTCTGTATAATTACTAGGGATGGTATGTAATTTAATTCGCGATGATATAAATCACTGTTTTTATTTAAATCAATTTAAAGCAGATTTAATCTTTTAATATTGCGCTTTGCAAAAAGATGTAACCTTTGTAGAACGTTATGTCATGTAACATCGGAGATTAGGGGATTTACAAATCGCAGCATTTGAATACTGTATAAATAATTGAATTACGTAATAAAGATCAACTAAATTACACACATTATTTGAATATCAGAAACCTGATAGCTCTACCGATATGAATCTAGAAATGACACGATTCGAGCAATTAATCAGTGCCATATCAGAACTAAAAAGTTTTATTTCTACCAGTGTAACCCACCTGTGTGAAATACCCTATTTTTAATACCCCATTTTTAATATCTGTTTCGGAGTTATGTATTATTAGGGTTAGCATTAGAAAATTATAATGGATTGTGTATGATATGTTTTTTAAAAAGGTGTTTTACACTCTATAATATACATCTCAGTTATGATGTATTTAATTGTATATGTCCAACATTTTCCAAATTAAGTTTACACTCATCCGTTGCGCAGCTACTTATGAAATATATATTATATTTTTAACACTTCTAACTCTTCATTTCCAATTAAAATTTCAGTATAAACAATTACACACGTATCGTAAGTGCCTTTCGAAATTTCTGATTTTAAGATGTCTAAAGTTATAATTTGTAGATACAGCGCCTGTTTCTTCATCTTTGGCATAATAAGCCTCTGTATATTTTACTACTTTTCGTACTTCCTTCAACCCTTAGAATCAACAGTACCAATATTGGAAATAACAGATGACTCCTATATCAAACCTCCTCCGGGCGTGGACCAGAACTTAACGATCTTCATCGGAATTATGACCATTTATGAGAGAATCGAGATTAGGGAGTGCTTGCGCGAGTTGTATACACACAATAATGACGCTCTGGCGCGGTATCTCGGAGTCAAGAACTCGCCTGTGACGATTAGATTTATTGTGAGACTGCCAAAGGATGAATATAAAGATAAACTGGAGGAAGAGTCTAAAATATATGGGGATATTGTTATTTTAAATATCACAGAGAACATAGATGAAGGAAAGACGTTTGAATATTTCAAATGGTTTGCTAAGCATGTGAGTATTCTTGTTTTGCTATTAGTTGCACACGTCAATAACCATTTACTATTTTAAATACACTTAGAGGAAAGATAATTATCTAGTCAAAATCGAGGATGTTACTTTCATCCACCTTATTCACTACTATCGTGACATTCAAGACTTACCGAGAAAACATGCGTACTATGGCGGTGTGTACTTTGGCGATCTAAATGATGATAGTACATACTCGTATATGGGAGGTATGTTTTTATTCCATTTTATCATCAACTTTTCGTGCGTTTTTTGATCTTTTTCTTAAACTCGAAATAAGGTGCAGGATACACACTCTCTCGCGACCTCGTTATAGACATTGTTGGTTCAAAATGGGTTAGTTTAAATGTCAAGGGTTATGAGGACATGCTAGTGGGTGATTGGATATGTCATGTGGCTAGAGAGAAGAAGTACTTTGTGCACTATGTCGGCTTTTCAAGCTGGACATCCATCCGTCAATATCCTTTCCATGACTTTAACGAGAAACTGGATCTCCACTCCCTTAGAGAGACTATCCTGATCCATAATATAAATGGCATCGGGGAGTGGAATGCCATAAAGGATGTGTACACCAAATATGAAGATGGATTGCCAATGCTCAGTGTTATTCGGAATTCAACGGCCAAAAGACTGGTTACAAAGAGGGAGATTATTCCAAAATGCTGGGAGAAAGAACAAATCTTGAATAAAACTTTGAAGAATACCTACAAGAACTGGTTCTATGAAGAATGGGGTTTTAAGGAAGGGAGGTGTTACGGATATGTGCCTGCGGATACGTAATATAGAGAATACTGGATATAAAAATTTTTATATTTTTGTAATTACATAATTTACGGTATTTAGTATTAATTGTTTGCGACTTTTTATGGAGCAATTACATCAGCAAGTTATATAAAATTTTTATATAGATTTATGAACTCAATATATGGACTTATATAGTTAGAATTTTTATACAAAACTTAATTTTTATTTAGTATTTCTATAGATATAAAAAATTTATTTATATCTATGTAAAAATAATTTAATTTACTTTAGCTACGTATTTCTTAAAATGAATGTTCAGCATGCTAAAAAAATCCACCCAATCCCAATTTAAACTTTAAAACCTAATCCTAGTATCAATGTTACGTGTCATTTTTGTAATTTGTTGATTTTGAATTGACGACTGTTATTTTTTAATCTCCACTGATTGAAAGTAACTTAGGTCAATCATGATGTATTTACATTAAACTAAAATTTATCGATATAAATAAAATTGCGTAATATAATGTTACGTATTTTGTCGATAAGTAAAAAAGTATATGAAAGTATATTACGGTAGAATATATTATGTATTTAATTTGTAAATTATAATTTGTACAATAAAAAATCACCAGTTGGTTAAGATAATTTTTTGAATTTTTTCTATATTATTTTATTGAAACTCTTATATATTATTATTCTTCTATATTAGTTTATTGAAATCCTTTTATATTATTTAATTATGAACCTATAAAGTTTCGATTTTCTAAGTCATGAGACATGCTTCAAACTTTTATTAATCAAAGAAAAAATAAAAATTGCTTAGTAGATGAAAATTGTTATAATGAGTATTTAAATGTATTGAAAAAAATACCAACCTGCTGAATAATCCAAGTTTTAAGTATTGAGTTATTCATACTTTCAAAATGCATATTATTAGTTTAGTTGAGGAACTTCATTCATTAAAATTCATGATTCTGGTTCTGATTCTGATCAACGTTATATGGCACAAGAAAAAAATGCTAAGCATATTTTATTGAATTTGAAGAAAATAGGTATATTAATTATTTATTAATACTGATTAAATTATTTATGAAGAAAATTTTTAAATCCTTTTAAATTTTTTTTTTTAGCAACGATTATTATTAAATAATATATCTAATTTAACTTGTTCTATATTTGAAAACCATGAAATTATTTATAGATTAACATTTCTAAATGTTGAGATTGTGAATACATTTGAAAAGAGGTATAAAACAAAACATGAAGAAATATTTAAACCTGGTGAATTTGTAAAAATTCACATACCTAATGTTGACAAGCTAAAGATGCAACAAAGCTCATTGCCTTGCAAAATTTTAAAAAAAAACAAGTTTTATTTCAGCAAGTGCAAAAATTGTTATGATCTTCAAGCCAAATTAATAACAAAATTCTGAAGCAAACAAGTAAGAAATTAAATAAAATTTATTTACTACACTAAATTAATTTTTTTAAAAAAAAATTGTAGTGATAATCAAAGATCTAACAATAAAATGAGTACTTTTTTTCATCAAGAAGCAACCAGTTCAAGTAGAACAAATTAAAAGAACTGTTGCCATTATCAAAAAACAAATTGTAATAATTTACTATGTACAAGAAAATGTGGATATGTGTTACAAAATCAATGGCAAAATTTTATTTTGTTCTTTTCTATTTGATTTTTTTTTTGTTCTTTCATTTGAAATTTATGTAATCAAATCAGCATTTATGTGTAAAATTAATATGCAAATCTAAAATTTTTATATTTTGTGATATTATACCAATTATACCAATTGTAAAATAACAGATATTGTTTTTAAATTTACAAACAATATGTCAATTTCAAAACAACATAAATCAAAAAATGATACAGAAAATATATAATATAATAGAGACTTGAAGATGTAAAATTTTTTTTTTAAAAAAAGGTATTGTTAAATTTTTACTTTAGTAAATAATTTGAAAAAATAAACTTTGCATAATCTACTAACACATTTTTTTAAGTACTAATTGTGCAAATTATTCTTTTTTTTTTTTTTGCTAATTATTTTTATATAAATTTATCTAGTATCACCTGATGGAAACCTTAATTTTCTGTAATTATCCAATAGAGCTAAAAGAAAAAATAAAATAAAAATTAACTTTATACAGCCTTAGATGTGATTATAAGCCTATTATTTTATAGTAGATATTTAATAAAAAAAAAATTTAACCCACTGACCAGAATTTGGAACAACAGTTTTGCAAAATACTAAAATAAAAAATCAACTTTGTTTTTAGCCTAAACAATAAGTTTCACAAATTAGGCAATGTAATATATTAACTGTTACTATAGAGTGTATAGTGTAGTATTTTTACTCCTAATAGACCTACCTCTTACAGCACAATACAACTTGACTTTCATAACAAGATGTTTATTAAGCTATTTCATCAAAAAAGTAATAGTTTTGATAGTTCTTTTTTTTATACAGTACTGCAGTACTGTGGTATGTACATACATATGTATATGAAATATCCATTATTATACATATACATAACTGATAATGTGTAATGTAGATCTCAGGTCCAAATGTTTATCAAATGTTGCAAGGTAATCTCGATCGATTGAAAAGTTTATTATATGAGCCTTCACAACTATTATTTTAGTTACACAAGTATTTAAAGAGAAAACTTAAACCCCAAATAGAACTTTAGGCTGTTAATTTTCAAAAATTATTAGAGCCTATTAATATATGAATTCATATTGTAATCTTGCCAAAGATTAATAGGTCTCAAATTCCAACATCCAAAACAAATAATTTGTTTATCAAAAAAGAAAGAAAGAAAGTATGTATGAAACAATCTCATTAAAAAAAAAAAATACAATAATTGTTAAGTCAATAGCAAAATGATATTAATCTCACAGTACTTCAAGAATGAATTTGATTTGGTTGTTACCTTATCTACATGATTAAGCAAGTTTGAACTTTTACACAAAACAGTAAGTATTATTGTAAAAATTATATATTTTTTAGATCTCATTAATCGTTATGTCATTATATATGTTAAATTATGATGGATGGTAAATATTTTAAAACATGTTCTTAAAAATCGTATTTGTTTGATTTAAATCTGGTAAAAAATGTTTAATATATTATGACGTATTCATGATTTGATTGCGTAATTCAAATGTATTATGATCATAAAATTCAAAAAAAAATTGAATAAGAAAATTCTTCAAAGCAATGTCTAGTGCTCAGCAAAATCAAACAAAAACTCGATTATCGAGTTTTTGAATCTATCAATTTACAATATTGGGAATTAAAT